AAATTATACACAAAAACACAGACAATAAGAAGTTTCTGTTTCCTAAACTTATACCCCCATAACCTATTGATATTAATGGCAATATTTTACACATTGTGCCTAGGTGAGGAATCAAACCCAGGCCTTCAGTATGACAAGAAACTGCTTTAACCACTAAGCTACCCCACCGCCCCTCCTGGGACCTAAGATCAATGACTGCCCCTCCTGGGACCTAAGATCAATGACTGCCCCTTCTGGGACCTAAGATCAATGACTGCCCCTTCTGGGACCTAAGATCAATGACTGCCCCTCCTGGGACCTAAGATCAATGACCGCCCCTCCTGGGACCTAAGATCAATGACTGCCCTTCCTGGGACCTAAGATCAATGACCGCCCCTCCTGGGACCTAAGATCAATGACCTATCTATAGACACTTGTAAATGCTTATGTAGGAGTGAGTGAGTGGGTAAGTGAGTATGGTTTTACGCTGCTTTTAGCAATATTCCAGCAATATCACAGTAGGGGACACCAGAAATGGGCTTCACACATTGTACCCATGTCAGGAATTGAACCCGGGTCTTCAGCCTTACGAGCGAACGCTTTGACCACTAGGCTACCCATCCGCCCTGCTTATGAAGGATCTAGTCACCTGTTATCAATGTGTTCACAGATTACATTACATTTCAAACAATAACCTTACACTTGCCCTCAACAAAAAGTCATCCATGCAAGATAAATAAAAGTGGCAAAAACCATTTCCATAATCATACAAAACTCCATTGTACGATTCATACTATATCCTGAGCAAATGTATGAAGAAAATCTATGCTATTCTGTTTAGAATAAGGCTAGTAAAATATAACTTCATACAGACAGGTCAAATGTTGGAGGATACTATCCCAGTTATCTCACTGTATATTAATTTCTTCAAACAACTTGACAATAACTCTATTTCATTGAAAAACAACTATCTTACACTACCATTCATGAATACGATATAGATACCTTCTCCTATAGCCTCCATTCATGTAATACATTTATTAAAGAATATAAAAATATGTGGTAAAACAATTGACTAGGTAAACTAATTGTTATGACACTAAAATATGTATTAGATACATGAAAAATGATGAGGAATAATCTTCTGAAAGTGTTATTCATAAGTAGATATCAGATAAACTGATGGAGAGAAAAAAAGATTTTGACTGCTGTTTTGTTTTTGTCTGAGTCAACACCCAACTCGGTAATACTCCAGCGATATATATATAATTGAGTCTGGACCAGATAATCCAGTGATTGACATCATGAGCATCGATCCACGCAATTGGGATAACCATGCATGCAATTTATCAAGACACTTGACTGCTTGATCCACTTCGCCACCTCTCTTGACAAGTATAGGTTGCTGAGGACCTTTTCTAACCCGGGATCTCCACGTCATGAAGGTGACACCTGCTAGGTTGAATGGTGTTGTCCCAAATACCTGTTGACATTGGCAATAGGGTGGCTCTGTACCTAGTGTGTTTACTTGACTTACACAGCTGGGCTGGGTTTAAATCTACACAATGTAAACTTTGTGATTCTAGTTTTGGGGTTAACATAAGGGAGTTCATAATTAAGTTTGTTCCTGCTGATGAATTTTTGCTTAGCATGACATCTCTATGAAAGCCTTTTTTTTCTTCTTTTTTTCCCCCTTGAAATATCAAGATAGTAAGTTGAAATTTCGAGATACTTACTAAATTGCAACTTCAAGATAATGATCTTGAAATTTCAAGAAAATAAATTTAAACTTTAAGATTTTAATTTGAAATTTCGACCTATTATCTTGAAATTTTAAGATACTATGTTGAAATTTTAAGATTCTATGTTGAAATTTCAAGATACATAAGTCAAAATTTTAAGATACTAAGTTGAAAGATTAAGTATCTTGAAATTTAAAAAAACAACACAATTGGCCCTAAAAAGTTATCCGTACATCTCTGTCTCCATACATTCTGAACAATTCGTCAAAAATGAAAGCAAATGCCATCTGAAATTTACTGAGTGAGTGAGTGAGAGATTTTACGCCACTTTCAGCAATATCATGGCAGGGGACTCCCCAAATGGGTTTGCTACATTTACCCATGTGGGGAATAGAACCAAGCATGATGATATTACACTCCAACCTCCCTGCTACCCCACCACCCCTAAACAATGCAAATGTGAACCTGTAAACCTGGCTGACAAAAAGAGCCTGTTAGCTCTGCTCCTAAAGTTTTTTCCAGGAATCATACCATCCTGAATGTCTTAGTCCTGCTGCCCTACAAATTGATGGAAAAAATGCATTCCTAAATAACCTAATCTAACACAAAAGCCTGCCCCGGATAATTGACCCGAGCATTTTCATATCAGGTGATTTATTAAAGATTCTAAACTCGTCCACATGAGCCTTTTTCATGTAACTAATATTGAACTTGATCTCATTTTTCCCCGAAGGATTCTAAAGACTCCTATAATTGCTGTCACCTAGCGGCGGACTGTCAATATGTGGGTGTGTTGATGTGTTGCTCAATCCGTGCATCGGGCAGGAGGGGGGGGGGGGGAATCAATGTCTCCCGCATCAGGGACAGGATGTCATTACTTGGAGTGGAAATCGAAATCACAAGAACATTTGAATTGCTGAGATTTGAAAAACCATCCATGATATATAGATTGTTGGTTATTGAACTTAAAACATTATTTCCAAAGCTGATTCTTGCAGACGATAACGTCGTTTGATTTGCTAATCTATTTCAACATTTTAGTCAAAGTTTTGAGAGGATATCGCAAGTTTATAACCTTGATTCATCGGATAGATCTACATCTCAAATATATTCAGTAATATGAAAAGCCCTTGCTTCCACTGTTATTTCTACATAGTTAATTCAGAGCTCGAGATGAAAAATGCAGACAAATCAAATCCTAGCGTATCAAATACACAACAAAATCTCTAAATACGCTATTGATACAAATTTATGCATCTATTACAACTACAGTAGAACACGGATATATCGAACTACTAGGGACCAGAGAAATCAGTTCGTTATATCCGTTGTTCGTTATACACGTTTTCGCTCGGAAACGTCCGCCATCTTGGATAAGACAAAACACAATACACACGTAACTGCAGCATTGATTTGTATTAGCAGTGATCATTTAACTGATATCAATTTACAACATTCATTTAATAACATTAAATTCATAACATTTTCTGAAGATTGTTATCAAATACATGTACAAAATTTAAACATATTTATCATTTTTCGATTTACATACGAAATGTGTAGTCTGTGATTTTACTTTGGCCTCGTTTCGCTGACTGCATTCTTGAAACGGCATCGTTCAGATCCGCCAAACTGTCAAAAACTGTTTGTTTTACAGACAAGATTACATGTACAGGTAAAATTAACACAATGCAAATTTAACAAGGTTGATCCGTCACCACTGATTGTATTGATTCGCCGCCATTGTTTTGATTCGCCGCTGATTGCATACAGCCAATTGTCAGTGACACTTAACACTGAGTGAGATTTCTCAGTTCGCTATACACGTCGCTAATAAGTGATAAATGGGCTTGTCGTTGATCAGGTATCAGTTCGCTGTATCCGTTAGTTCGCTATAGAGAGTTCGTTATATACGTAAATTTTATATGATATTATATAGGAGATAAATCGGGGATTTTTTAACAGTTTGTTGTATCCGTTTGTTCGCTATATCCGTGTTCGTTATATCCGTGTTCTACTGTATTAGAAAAAAGGATTGTGTATATCACAACTGTTAGATAAAATGATTGTTTCAGCCGATCACCAAATTCACTTACCAACAGTTACATTCGGAAAAGCTTCTGCAACAAACATACTGATAGATGCCAATTGAATCTTAATACGTCGCTGATTGGTAATTAAAACAATATCGCCTTTCTTACAATGCTAGGTTTTGGAAACAAAAAATGGCTTCCCGGAGAGGGAGCCGCAAGCAGACGCAGACGAGTATACTACTATTCATATAGTTTAAAATGATTTATAGGGGTTGCTAAGCAACAGGTTTTTAGTTAAATATCAAATGTCAAGAAACAGGTGGGTAAAAAAAATTTAAAAAACCTTCTAAGACCTGTGGAGACCCAATCAAAATTAAACCCCGGGTAAAATATCCAGATAACCAAAAGCTTATCTATAGCTCCGTAGTTCCCAGCATTCATAGACACAGACCCCATGTTTCACATGGTCACCCAAACATCCATCTCGTATCTCGTATCCACATTCACCTATATAGAGAATTAATTTCAGGTGGTACCTTATTTCTATGAAACTTTCTATTTTCTTTCTAGGCCAATATGTGAAGTTCATATCTTCCCCTCAAAGAAATTTGATTCTTTTATCAAATAATTACACACTATTCTAAATGATTCTTTACATTTCTTGAAAAAACAGCTTTTTTCAAAAAACTAATTAACATTAATTTAATGTTTCTCAGTGATTAATTATGTGAAAAATGTTTCTTTAATCTGTCATACAAAATATGTATGTAATAAATAGTATAGAGGAATAATTTTAGTAGAAGTGTGGGGTTATAATCGGTGCCCATTAATCAGTGCCTGTCATACGAGGCGGCTATAGGCATACAGTGGTCAGGTGTCAAATTACAGTAACAGCATGCTTCATTGTTCAGGATATCAATGACTGGTTTGTCTGGTCCAGACGTGATGATTTACAGGTCAATGTCATATACCTGGAGTTTGGCATTACAACAATCAACAATGATTAACAAATCTTATATACTATTTTTTCTCTGACAAAGTTTGTAAAATACTGTATACAAGAGATCCAAGCCATGCCAATTGTCTTCCTTTCTTGGTTTTTAAACAATGTTTTTGTGAAGTTTTGAAAGGGCTTATACCTTGGCTACATGCCAATGTCACAGCCAGTGGTGCTTGACTTGCCAAATACGTTTTATGTTATAAAATTCTTCAAAACATCAGTAGAGATTGAGTAATTTTTACTCACCAGATGCCCAAAGTGTTGACTGTGGGTAAGTTATTAATCCTTCGGTGCATATCCACAACAGGTATTAAGAGTGTCAGTTTAAAAAAGTTTAAAATGTCCCATCAAAGAGGTGCCAGGATGATGCTAGGCATTGGTCATCTTACCACTATCACAATGTCAATGATACTTCCACAATGTTAGAGCTGAATCCAATATTTATATTCTAAAATCAAATGACCATTTCCAACTGCTGCTACCAAAAGCACTATCTCATCATTGCAGGTATGTTATTATTATTATTATCATCAGTAACACCATTCACCAGCTCCGACCTTGATCACAATTCAACAGCTTCAACCACTGCTTTCAATTCAACAGCTTCAACCACTGCTTTCAATTCAACAGCTTCAACCACTGCTTTCAATTCAACAGTTTCAACCACTGGCCACAATTCAACAGTTTCAACCACTGGTCATAATTCAACAGCTTCAACCACTGGTCACAATTCAACAGCTTCAACCACTGGTCACAATTCAACAGCTTCCACCTCTAATCCACTGTTGCAAGTACTGTCCCTGCAAGTATTTCAGTGCTGCCACTTATTTCAACACTGCTGCACAAAGATCGTCCCAGCACTGCCCCAGGCGACCACCATCTGCCTCTTCCAGCGAGCGAGTGAATGAGGAGATGTAAGACCCAGCATCCCGAGCAGGATGAAGCTGTCTGCACGGCCAGGCCTATTTGCCCATGCTGGGAATGACATAGAAAGTCTTGTGTCAACACGTTAAAATGCTGCACGTTAGGACTATTTACTCCCTAATCTGGCTCCCGTAACAGACCTATGTTTGAGGAGGTATACTCGTGCACGGTGCAGCGATGTCGCGGACGCTGTCCTACTGGACAAATATGTCCCCTAGACTTCTTTCAATCCTGGTCTCTACACACTCTTTGTCCTCATTAGCTCTAAACAAAACACATCATCGCAAAATAACGTCAGACCGACCCAGTAATGGTTATTTTAAGTCATCAATTAGCTCTGTAAGCAATTATTTTGAGAAGCAAGAAACTGTCACCATCAGGGTTTCCATGTAACAATGTGTGTCTTGGAGTAGAATTTGTCTCATTTACTGTACTTCACAAACATCAGCATCAATATGACCTGGTCCGTGTATCATGACTTTTAAATGTAGAATTCAGAAAAACATAAAAGTGGATCTTTATCTTAACTTGTCCCTTCAGGTACATCTAGGCTGCCCAGAATGGAGACATCATGGACAATTGCTACAGGTGTACATGTTTAAGAGCTACTTGTCTGTTGTCAGAGCCGACGAGTGAGAGAGTGAGTACGGTTTTACGACGCTTTTAGCAATATTCCAGCAATATCATGGTGGGGGACACCAGAAATGGGCTTCACACATTGTACCCATGTCGGGAATCGAACCCGGGTCTTCGTCGTGACGAGCAAACACTTTAACCACTAGGCTACCCGACCACCCCATGAGCCGATGAGAAGGGGCTTGTCACAGTGTCACTGGTGTTCATGTCATTAACTACCGGTATCTGGCAAAAAACACTCACTCACTCACCCAATGGGTTTCGAACCATGTTAATCATCAGGACATCATCAAGCTATGTATTCTAAGTATCTGCTGTTCAATTTGTTGTCTTATTTATAATCAATTGTCTTCCAATTTGTTTTATTTTGTTTGAAGTTATGTTTTCAATTGGTTTTGACTTATAATTTACTTAAGTTTTGGTTTGAAGTTTGTAAGACTTTTAGAGAATTTCTTAAAGGAATTTAACATCTAAATATTTCCAATTCTTTACTTCTTATTTTGCCTCTCTAAGGATGGAATGTCATCAAAGGCTATAAAAAAACAAGGAAATACAATTGGTCCAGACAAAATGAAAACCAGTCAGTATGTTTACAAAAGTTACAAAATCTATTCAAATCAATAACTGAACCAAAATTATTATGAAAGTGAGGACCATTTGATATTCTAGGTGTGGGGGACTCGGATTTTGTATGGAGACTATTTTTCAGCTACCAAATATTTTCTTAATCAAAACTATGGGCATAAATATTATTTTCTGAAAATAAACTTGCAACAATGTAAATTTCTTTGATCCCCACCAATATGACACATAATTTTTTTCAAGCATTTTCAGAGACAAAGTATTTTGTTCTACAACATCTCAGCTCCTCCCAGAATATCAAATGGTTGGCCACTAATGCATTACATAGAAGAATGCACACATCCAAGAATATCCCACATCACAAGCATATCATACAGACATGTCTCCCTGATAGACACGTGCACCATCTCCATCTATTACATCCATTAAATAGAGTACCAGTGTCCTTTGAAGCACGGTTTGTTCTGTGACGTGAGAATGACGAGAACACCATACAACACAACATTAAAAACATAATGTTGGCAGGAGTGTGAGTCCACCGTGACATTGGCATGTGTCCATATTTCAAAGCTTTTCAAAGCTACATGGAAGCGAGAAGAGTTGGAAGAAATTATTCAAACAGTTTTGTCATGCAGTATTTTCTGTCAAGTTCAGAAAACTAAAGGTGCAAAAACAATGTGTTAATCAATATGTATGACATTTCATCAGGGTAGAAGTTAAGCAGAATAGTGATAACACATAGCAACACCCCCAAAAATGTTTGAAACTCTACTAGCCCTTAGTAACCTTAACATTATCAAGACAGGTCTGGGCTAGCCATCTCCCGAGGCAAGTGTGTCCACTAGCCTACCTAATCGACGTAATAAGCGCCCACGGCGATATTTGCCAATATATTGGCAAGTGAATAATCCCAATTAGCACCCCTTCCGATTGATCAATGTACACAAGACTTATTTATTCGTGTATAATACGCACTCGTGTGTTATATGCACCCTTAATTATGGTCAATTAAATTCAGGAAAATATATCTGTTGTATATAAACAGTCAGACCGTCAGCATAAACCACAAAATTTATCTTTCAACTCTGTTTTTTCCACTAAAATAATATTCTAATAAGAGACCCCTATTTCTAATTTTGAGAGCACCCTGGGCGCTTATTATGTCGAATACGGTATATCAAAGCCTAGTTTCTACCCTTGCCACATCAAGGCCACATTTCTGGCTCGACCCTGGAGGGTAGAAACAACAGCTTTTTCAAACATTAAATATAAAAATGAACAGATGGAAAATAAATTGAATTAATTTAGATTATTAAGGCCAGACTAATTTTTCTCCCCTTGCATAGGGACCCGCCGATCTGATTTCTCCCTGATATTTGAAAAAGTAAATAATGAAATAAACTATGTATTTTAAAGAAACAATTACAGTCATGACTACACTATAATATCGATTGATTTCCCAATGGCAGGGAAAATCTCTTCTGCAATTGTCACTTGCGATCAGCAGAATGCAAATAACTTTCACTGGACGTCTGTTCTGTGAGAGCTAAAAATGAACAGATGGAAAATTTTAATTATTAAGGCCATACTAAAAGTGGTTTGATCTGATGTCTGACTAACGCTCCCTGCAGTACTTATTCCATGCTGCACTCACTCAGAGCTCCCAGCACATCCCAGCATATCCCAGCATATCCAGCATATCTAGCACATTCCAGCATACTCCAGCACATTCCAGCATACTCCAGGATATTCCAGCATATCTAGCACATTCCAGCATACCCCAGCACATTCCAGCATATCTAGCACATTCCAGCATACTCCAGGATATTCCAGCATATCTAGCACATTCCAGCATACCCCAGCACATTCCAGCATATCTAGCACATTCCAGCATACTCCAGGATATTCCAGCATTTCTAGCACATTCCAGCATACCCCAGGATATTCCAGCATATCTAGCACATTTCAGCATATCTAGCACATTCTAGCATATCTAGCACATTCCAGCATACACCAGCACATTCCAGTATACCCCAGCATATTCCAGCACATCTAGCACATTCCAGCATATCAAGCACATTCCAGCATTCCCCAGGATATTCTTGATTCAAGCATATCTAGCACATTTCAGCATATTCCAGCATATCTTGCACATTCCCGCATACCCCAGCACATTCCAGCATATCTAGCATATTCCAGCATATCTAGCACATTCCAGCATATCTAGCACATTCCAGCATATTCCAGCACATCCCTACATATCTAGCACATTCAAGCATACCCCAGCACATTCCAGCATATCTAGCATATTCCAGCATACCCCAGCACATTGCATCTGGACATGATCCATAGGATAACCTGGTGCTCTAAAAAAACCTCAACACAGCCAAACTAAGGGAGATAACCACGTGGCGGGTCCGGTCATTGCCCATCACGACCCTTGTACACCGGTTGTACAGCAAAAACAGGTGAACATTTATTCCAACTATACAGGGTGGTCGGGTAGCCTAGTGGTTAAAGCGTTCGCTCATCACGCCGAAGACCCGGGTTCGATTCCCGACATGGGTACAATGTATGAAGCCCATTTCTGGTATCCCCTGCCGTGATATTGCTGGAATATTGCTAAAAGCGGCGTAAAACCATACTCACTCACTCACTCACTCACTCCAACTATACAAACATGTCCGTACCAATGACCAATGTTTGAAACAAAACACAACCACATTGCGAAAATATTTAATCACACTGTTCCAACAATTAATATCGTAAATTTCACAATTTTTAAACCAAACACAAATACGTTTGTTTGTCAACATAACCTGACCACAAAATCCTGTTTTCTGGTTATCATTTAATACTTTAAGCATTAGACTTCCGATTTTGAAAAAAACAACCTTCATATAGAGCCAAGTCCCCACACAGCTGCGACTGGATCAACTCCAGGAGACAGGGCACTGTTGTAATCTGGGCCAGGAGGAGTCCAGACATGGTGTGTTTTGTGTTTCGAGTAAATGTAGCTAACAGGTCGTTAGTATCAAGCCTCTGTAAAAATGTCCGCGATGTTAATGGAAGGCATTGTGCTGCAATGGCTCTTTCAGAAACCTCTATCCCTCTATTTAATTTCCACATTGATATGTGGTCGCGGTGTGCACCAGCTGTTTTTCAAGGCATGAGAACTTGGAGCATTTTAAAGAGATGTCCCAACACGAACATGTGTTCAACATGCACGAGTATCAGACTTGAGATGGGATTAAAGATTCGGCAGCTTGGAGCAGGAATTTTATCAAGAACAGCTGACGGCAACACACACTCACGTCTAGGTAATGAAGTGCAGACATGGAGAGCACATATTCCTGGAACTAATGGGTTCTGAAACTGTTACTTGGGAGGTATTGCAAGAAAACATGTGACTGATAGTGCACTCTTTCTTCCATTTGTCATTTCCTACTGACAATCTGTGGAATTTTGAAAATGTCTTAAGTCATAATGTTGGATAATGTTTCCTTACGTGTCCTGCCATCAAGGACCCATGCATGCTGGGAAAGTGGGACGACAAATCAGAAGACAACCCAATGAAAAAGAGTAAATAAATCTCTTAATGCTCAAATGCGAAATGTTTTTTACCCACAAACCAGTTTGAAGAAATTGAGGTTTAAACATGCACATGTTTGTTTCTGTCAACTTACATCATCACTGTCACCGAAAAAACATGTATCTCCACAACAAACATTTCACTGTTTGTAGAATGTTTAACAGTGTGTCTAC